ATATGAACCTCATTCTGATGAGTAATAAAACTATGAACCTGTTTCTGGTTACCGTGTAGTTGTTTCTGATCATTGAGTAGCCAGATAACAAGTTGTTGATGTGTACCTCATTCTAATGAGTAATAAAACCATGAACCTGTTTCTGGTTACCGTGTAGTTGTTTCTGATCATTGAGAAACCAGATAAGTTGTTGAAAATTTATTTTGGTAAAGTATTTATTTGGGAATGTGTTGAAATCCCTGTCAGACTTCTATCCTGCTAACATTTTATCCAACCTGAAATGTACCTTCTTTTGGTCTAATGAAAATCTAATATATGTTGTAGCAAAGGTTAACGTTATTTCCAGGCATCCTGTATAATAACCTGTTATTTATTCAACCAATAAAGATGCTTCTGGTGAATAGTTAATTAGTTTCTGATTGTTAATGAATCTGTGGAACTTTTCACAATGATAAACTACACATAAGGTATTAGGTCTGAAAATAATGTATTTTTCATCTCTTATATAGGCAATCAGAACTGTAATCCAACATCTAATGACTTATCTTTGATCGAGATCCCTAAATAATAAATTATTTCCTCATTCTCTCTCTCTAAAAATACCTATTATATTTACTTCCTCACAACATGGTTATTATAAAAATCCAGGCATGCTTTAATAATACCAATAGAATTTTTATCAACATGTATGTTTTTTTTTTTCACACATAAAATATATTTACATGTATATTAAAAAACATCAGATTTTTTTATTAAAATTTACTGTAGGTTTTGCCTTGTTTGAAAAATATATAGTTTTAAACTTTTTGATATAAAGTGGATACATCAATATATTCCAAAATATACCTCAGTGAGATGTTACATGTTTGTCAAAGACAAACTAGCTGTCTTAAATATATGTATATAATGTGTATAGGTATATAGAAAGGACGGAGTACTGGGAAAAGTATATCCAATATACAAGTCATAATGGAACAACAAGTATCAGAACTATATTTTGACATTGTTTTGCATTTCATAGGTAGTGTGATGCCCCCCAAAATTGATTGCTATTGGGAAGGTAATGTAATGGCCCTCCCTGATGCAAAATATTCATACACTCATATCATAAAAGTGAGTTCAGATCAGGGATTTAGGATTTCTAAGACAATGATATCCTCTTCTACTCAATGGCATTGGAAAACAAAGGAATATAGGGGAATCAGGACCCCAGCTCTGGTAAGCAAAGTGCAGTCTGGTAACAGGTAAAGATCCACAAATACAAAAGTCAGTGGAAAAAGCCATTTGTGTGTTTCAGGAAACATAATGAAAAAGGATATCCAGGTTACACACACACACACAAGTTACTTTCACAGTATATCTGTTCATCCATCACATTCCTCAAACAGCTGGAGAACAAAATGGGAATTCATGCTATTACATAAAAAGATATACTGGTTCAGCATCTATTAATTTCTGTGTGACTGAACTGTTGAAGTAGGCATTATGAAATCGCCATTCTTATACACTAGATGGATTATAGAAAACATGCAGGGATGAGTTGTTTGCTTTGGCTATTGTCAAGATGTACGGTCATTAAACAGAACATGATCAAATGTGGCAATATGGACAATAATGATGTGATGAGATGCCAAAATCATTTTAATATAAAGTACTCGCTCTCTGTGTGTTTGTATATATAATGTATGAGGATTAATATATATATATATATATTGCAGTAACAATCATGCATATATATATTTATATATCTGTCTGAAACATATGAATGAAAATGAGCAATTCACATGTGATGGAAAATACTTCTATAATATATGACTTTTTTATCATTTCATTAGAAAAAAAAACACATGATTTAGCTGTGGATATAATTATTATAAATAATTGTAGACTTTTACTTTAGGACCAACAGGTGGCATTCCAACGTGTAGCAAAACTGTATGTGAACTATATCCAGATCATGCGTTCATTAGAAGCTTGTTACGATCAAATGGTCCACCCCCAGAAGAGAAGAGTGGTACGACAGTTGCTTGATGCCACCGTAGGAAGAGTACTAGAACTGAAGAGTGAGATGGTTTCCATTGAATGTTCTGAATATCACTTCTTGGATGATCTCGTTACTGACATGAAACTGGTTCCAGTGAGTTTTATATTTCTGAATAGTAGTATTCAAGCATTGGAAGAAAAGTCTTATTTCTAATAAACAATAAACTATAAAAATAATATCTGTTACTGCCAGAGAAGAACATTGTTTAATATGAGATGTTATGTAAGGATGTTGATACTAGTGACCTTCAATAGATGATACCTTATCTATGTTGCAGTAAGAATGACCAGTCACATGGGTAACACATGTCACTTTGGTTAAATGTGAGGTTTCTTAAATCTTAAGAAACATGGCATTTAAACAGTATGGAACTTTGTCTTTTAAATTTGGTTTCCTTTTTAAAGATACTGATAGAAGATCTTGACATAATAAACTTAGGGAAGAACTAGTATAATTTGATAGTCCAATGCATTTTTAACGTCCAAGCAGGTACACACACACACCATGTTTCATTCTATAATAAAAGTTATTCATTTTGTGTTTCAGGTTTCTTTATTTCATTTGACATTAATCCAGTCAGTGAGACTTTGAGCATTATTTCATAATTATTATCTTGATCAAATCACTGGATAATTAAGCTGCTCTATCTACTGTAGTTAAAGAGTTGATTTAGTTTTACCTGGACATACCATAGTAATGACAATTCTTTTATACTCAAATTTCAGTTTGAAATCCTTTTTTTTTTGTGTAACATACATTTCCATCATTAAATTTGTAACATTATAAAATAAAAACAG